TGTTAGGGTTTTTGGGAATTAACCCCTAGCAGAGTATTGCAGCAGTAGTCAAGCCAGGCAGCCAAAGGAGAGCGGAAGGGCCCCAGAGTATACACACACTGAACACAAACACTGTTTGTAGTTTAAATAGTTTTTAATCCAGTTAGAGTTTAAGCATTGTCATTCAGTCCATTAAGTCATTCACAGTATTTCCATCCAGTAAGACTCACTAGTATAGTCCAAGTTAAGAGTCCTTGCAATATCTTTATCAGCCGATAAAGATATCTTCTCCTCCTCCGGTTTCACTCTCCAGAGAAACAAACGCTGGATATTCAGTAGACTTACGCAGTAATCAGCAAACAGTAGCAAACAATAACAGTTCAGTCACAGGCACTCACAGTCAGTAATCACAGTTAGTCGCAGCAGCACACAGTAACAGTTACAGCCAGTAACAGCTCACAGACAGCCAGCAAGCAGGCTTTCCAGCTTCTAATGCTTCCTTATATTGTAACTTCTAACCGCACCCTTAATCGGTTAATTGCCTGCTGCATTGTGCTTAAAGTGATAAGCACTTAAACCATGATATCTAAGTTTTATATATTTATTCACCCAAACCATATTTGGTATCAATGTTATACCTAACAGGACTTCCTTCTAATTTTGGGACTCGGTTATATTTGTGTCACGCCCCGGGTCATCACAGGATATTTATCTGTTTCCACTATTGTGCGAAAACTATTCTTGCCGCCGTCAGTACATGAAGTATAATATATTAGGGTTGGTTTTTTTTTATTTAGATTGTCCTTGATTATGCCTAATAGAAATAATTCCGGCTTCCATTCTATTTTTTTTTTTGCTTAATAACCTCCTCGAGCCATTTCTTTATCCTCCTCCAATAACTTCTTTGATCCTTGGCACATCCACCACATATGGAAAAATGTTCCTTGCTTGTGTTTGCACCTCCAGCATGTCGCTGATCTATTAGGGTGCCTCCTTCCTACCTTTTCATAAGGGCCTAAAGACCTTAAGGGCTTAAAGATTCCCCCACTGGGGTTAGGACCCCAGTTGGGGGGCGGGAATCAGCAGAATGGAGGTGTGATTGATTGATAACAGATCCTGCCTCTCTGCCCCTGCTCCCTTGTCATTATATATATATATATAGGGGGGGGAAGCGACTTACGAGCATTTTCCACACTTAGGACCGTTGCAGCTTCCTCGTGGTCATGTGATCATATTTATGACGGTTGCCGTGTCCTGGGATCACGTGATCAGGTTTTGACAAGCCGAGTCAAATGGGGAGGCCTGGTTCACTTAACAACCGTCTTACTAACTCACCAGCTGGGATAATTCACTTAACAAGTGCGAGAAGAAAGGTCATAAACAGGGGCAAAGACTCACTTAACAGATACTTTGGGCTCAATTGTGGTCATAAGTCAAGGACGACCTGTACCTGATAGGAATTTTAGAGTAACAGGTGGAAATAGCAACAGCCCTCAGACTTATATACCGCTTCACAGTGTTTTACAGCCCTCTCTATGCAGTTTAACAGAGTCAGCCTCTGGCCCCCAACAATCTGGGTCCTCATTTTACCCACCCCGGAAGGAGGGAAGGCTGAATCCAACCTTGAACCTGGTGAGAATCGAACTGCCAAACTGCTGGCAGCCGGTGATCAGCAGATGTAGCCTGAAGTATTGCATTCTAACCGCCGCACCACCGAAGCTCTTTGGTGATTGCAGCCAGCTAGCTAGTCTGGCCCAGAGCCCACAAACAGGTAGTTTCATTGCTGAAGAGCAATTCCATACGGCGTTGCGAGGTGTGGAAGGCAATTTTAAGCACCACAAACTGAGCGTGGAAAAGAGATTCATTTAATTTTTCCGGGAAATTATTGTGACAACCGAGTAGTATGACCTCCTTCCTAACACCTAAAAGCTGCACGCTGATGGGATTCCTTCTCTCTCCGTTCACAGGTTTACGGAAGAATGCCTGTCCTCTGTCGGGAAAACCGTAGGTAAAGCAGAAAGAACCTGGGTGCCAATCGGGACCGAATGCTGCGATGCACTTGATAGGTTAACACAGCTGGAGGAATTAGTGAGGGTTTGAAGGAGGAGGGAAGCCAGAACGCTGACATTGCTTTCACCGCATCTGCCATTGGGGATTCTGTAAAAGCTGGTGGGCTCTAAAATCTGTTTCTGGGACCACTCTTGGCAAGCAGCTGTCAGTCCAGAGTACTCAAGGGGATGTTACAATTTCATGTTATACTGTAGAACGCAGGTGTGTGTGCGTGTGTTAGCATTTTCATCCCATTAGATTGGCCTATCTTAACCCAGTCTGGCAGGGAAGGGATAGCAATAGCACTTGTACACTGATTTCTAGTGCTTCACAGCCTTCTGCTGTGGGCAGAGTTAGCCTGAAATACTGCAGAGAGAGAGAAAGAGGGGGAGGGAGAGGGGGAGAGAGAGAGAGAGAGAGAGAGAGAGAGAGAGAGGACATGGATAGCATTTAGACTTAAATACCGGCTTCACAGGGATTTACAGCCCGCTCTAAGTGGTTTACAGAGTCAGCCTCTTGCCCTCCAACAATCTGGCTCCTCATTTTACCCACCTCGGAAGGATGGAAGCCTGAGTCCAACCTTGAGCCGGTCAGGATCGAACGCCTGGGAGTTAGCCTGCTGTACTGCATTGTGACAGATCGATTCATAGACAGACAGACAGAGACAGAGAGATAGAGAAAGATATAAGACACGGACAGCAATAGCACTTAGGCTTAAATACCGGCTTCACAAAGATTTACAGCCCTCTCTAAGTAGTTTACTGAGTCGGCCTCTTGCCCCCAGCAATTGGGTCCTCATTTTATCCACCTCAGAAGGATGGAAGGTTGAGTTGACTTGGAACGGGTCAGTATCAAACTCCTGGCAGTGAACATGGAGTTGGCCTACCGTATTGCATTCTAAGCCCTGCGCCACCAGGGCTCTTGGGTGTTGCAAATCCCGTCAGTACTCATTAAGTGGCAGGGTCTAGGAAGAGAGCCTTCCCTGGCATCGCCCCTGCCCTGTGGAATATCCTCCTCCCAGAACCCTTGCTTAATTCTAAAGCGTTTACTTTTTACATTCACTGTTTTTATATTTCAACATTTTATCGCACGCTGCCCGGAGTGTCTCTCTCTCAAGAGAGAGTGGCCGGTTCAAAAAATGTGAGAAATAATTTGTGCGTGCATGCATGGACACAGTATGCGTGTATACGTATTTGTGTGTACACTTGCGGAGTGGGGTTGTGAGATCACATGCATACAACCACCCACAAGTTATCCTTCTTGAGGCCAAGACCTAAATCAGGCAAGTACCTGAGCATCTCTCCAGATTTCAGTCTGGATACATTTTCAGTGTCTTATATCAGTGGTGCAGAAACAGCCAATTTCTTAACGTTGAAGGGAATCACTTTTGAGATTCAGTGGGAACCATAGAGTTGGAAGCGACCTTAGATGTCATTTAACAGATAACAGTTAACAGATAATCAGAGTTGGAAGGGACCTTAGATGTCATTTAACAGATA